AGCTTCTGGGATAAGAACCCACTCTTTGAAAAAAACTGCTGGGAAAACTGGAAAAGAGTATGGCAGAAACTAGGCATAGACCCAAATCTCACACCATATACCAAAATAAAGTCAAAATGGGTTCATGACTTAGATATAAAGGCTGATACATAAGTAAACTGGGAGAACAAGGAATAGTTTACCTATCAGATCTATGGAGAACAGAAGAATTCATGACCAAACAGGAGATAGAGAACATTATGAAAAGCAAAATGGATAATTTTGATTACATTAAATTGAAAAGTTTTTGCACAAACAAAGCCAATGCAACTAAGATTAGAAGGAAGGTAGAAAATTGGGAAAGAATTTTTACAACCAGTCTCTCTGATAAAGGCCTCATTTCTAAAATATATAGAGAATTAAGACAAATTTATAAGAACACAAGCCATTCCCCAATTGATAAATGGTCAAAGGATATGAACAGACAGTTCTCAGATGAAGAAATTAAAGCCATCTATAGTCGTATGAAAAAATGCTCTAAATCGTTATTGATTAGAGAAATGCAAATGAAAACAACTCTGAGGTACCACATCACACCTATCAGATTGGCCAACATGACAAAACAGGAAAATGATAAATGTTGGAGAAGATGTGGGAAAATTGGAACACTAATACATTGTTGGTGGAGTTGTGAAATGATCCAACCATTTTGGAGAACAATTTGGAACTATGCCCAAAGGGCTACAAAAATGTGCATACCCTTTGATCCAGCAATAGCACTTCTAGGGCTATATCCCAAAGAGATCAACAAATGGGAAAAGGACCCACATGTACAAAAATATTCATAGCAGCTCTTTTTGTGGTGGCAAAGAATTGGAAATTGAGAGGATGCCCATCAATTGGGGAATGGCTGAGCAAGTTGTGGTATATGAATGTAATGGAATATTGTGCTATAAGAAATGATGAACAGGCTGACTTCAGAAAAACCTGGAAAGACTTATTTGGTCTGATGCTGAGTGAAGTGAGCAGAACCAAGAGGACTTTGTACACAGGAAAAGCCACGTTATGCGATGACTAATATTGTTAAACTGAACCCTTCTCAGCATTACAAGGATCTAAGACATCTCCAGAGGCCTCGGATGGAAAATGCTGTCCACATCCAAAGAAAGAACTATGGAAGTCAAATTGCTATCACTTATTTTTACCTTCTGTTGAGTTTCATTTCATCTTTCTCGTGGTTCCTCCTATTGGTTTTAATTTTTACTTACAACGTCACTAATGTGAAAATATGTTTAATAGGAATGTAAATGTAAAGCCTATATCAGATTGTGCGCTGTCTTGGGAGGAAGGGGGAGAAAAATTTTCTACTCAAAAGAGTATGGAAGTGAGTGTTGATAAATCAAAATAAATTAATAAAATTTTTTTAAAAGAACTTAAAAAAAATGAAGGAAATAAGAACTACAGAGGAGAGACCTGAAATGAAAATTGGAGTAAGAGACAGAAAATCTTACTCAGTAACAGATTCCCTAGAAAGTAGAGTAGACCAAAACAGAAGTTAATGACTACATGAGACGATAAGAAATAGTAAAACAAAGTCAAGGGATTGAAGAAATAGAAGAAAATGTAAAGTATCATATCAAAAATTATTGACCTGGAAAAGAATCATTGGACTACCTTTTAAAAGCTATGACCAAAAAAATAAGAGCCTGGATATCATATGCAAGAAATCATGAAAGAAAAATTGAACAAAGTGAAAAAAGAAAGAATCCATTGATCACTCTGAAAGGAACTTAAAAAGAAAACTCCTAAGAATGTTATAGCCCAAATCCATAGTTTCCAGTCAAAGGAAAAATACCATAAGCAATCAGAAAGAGTTTAAGCCCTGAGAAACCATAGTCAGGATCACATATGATTTAGCAGCTACAACCATAAAGGAACAGAGAGTATGGAATGCAGTATTCCAAAAACCATAAGGTATAGGCCTACAATCAAGAATAATTTTACCCAGCAAAACAGTATAAGTTTACAGTGGAATAGACTGTAATAAAGGACTTCCCTGCATCCCTGATGAAAAACTACAGCTTATTAGAAACTTTTAAATATAAACACAGGAGTAAAGAGAAACATAAAAAGGTAAATACAAGTGAACAATCAAAAAGACTTTGTAAGGATGAAGAAGTATTTACCTTCAAGGTGGGTGTAGAGATAGGAAAGAAAGCGATACAAGAGTCCTATAAGAACAGTGATAGTAGCAGGGGTCATAGAAGGAATCAAATACGATGGAGGATCTGGGAGTGGTTTCTGTTGTGTTTTGTCTTAAAAGGAGAAAGAAAGGGACGGGGTGTGTGTGTGTGAGAGAGAGAGAGAGAGTGTGTGTGTGTGTGTGTAGATACATTAAAAAATGTGGGAGAAGGAATGGAGAAAGGCTTCTTATCAAGGGATGCAAGTATAAGTTTATATAAACAAAGAAGGGGTGGGGTGAGGAGGGCTTCTCTTAAACCTTACTTTGAACTGATGTCCAGTGAAGTGAGCAGAACCAGGAGAACAATTTATACTATAATAGCAACATTGTAAAAATGACAATTTTGAAAGACTTAGGAACTCTGTTCAATACAGTGATTACCCGTGATTCTAGAGGACTCTGAAATCAGAGGACCAGGGTTCAAACCCCATTACCTGTGTAACTCAGGTCCAATCACTAAATCTCCTGGGGCCTTCACCATTTCTTTCACTTGAAAGTGGTTAGACTAGCTAGCCTCTTCCAGCTTTAAAACTAAGATTCTATGAACCATTTGTTAAATACCAGGTATTGTGCCTGGACTCTGGGAATACAAAGAAAAAAATAAAACTGTCTTTGCCCTCAAGAAGCTTACATTCTGTTGGACTGATCTTTCTTCCTCTTAGCAAGAGTAGACATCTGAGAATGTTGTCTTCAGGAGAGAAACAGGTTTCAGTTAAGATAATGATATGAAGGAAAGAGAGAAGGAAAAGTTCTGAGATTAAGGGGAATTTGCCTACAGTGAGTGGAACAGGGATTTCACAAGGCATGGTAGAAGGAAGCTAGCAGAAAGGATGAATTGGGGAGGGCAGACTTAGGTTAGGGAGAGAATATGAATTCAAGGCTTATAAAAAGTCCTAAGGGAACTGGTTTACACTGGAAGCAGTGATTAAGGAGAGTTTAAATGAAGAAACTTGGAAGGAAACAAGAATGGGGCTTCATGAGTCAATATTCCAAACAGAGTATTGGCCAATTTGAGAAATCGTAATTCATTTGTCTTTTTTTCCATCTTTTTACTTCCTTTCTCTCTTCTGTCATAAGAATTGTGAGAAGTAATAATTATGTTAGTAATTATAATGTGAAAATTTTTCAGATACTTTAGAGAATGGATTTGATTAAATATCAGGTTTTTTTAATTTTAATATCAATCAGCTGTTATATTTGAGGATATTTAGTGACTATTTGAAAATTATTTTAAAATTGCTATTAATTCCCAAACTCCAGTGAAAAGTCTGGGGAACAAAAGAAAGGTAACTAAGACTCTACCAGAACTGTTGAGCTATGTTGACATTATTTATTCTGATTAGGTAAAGCAAGCAACCAACACTGTTTTGGTTCTGCACAGTACAAGAAACCAAGAGATGATGTCCTGCCTAGAACAGAAGTTGTATGAATGTTAGAACAGAGACTGTTTTCAAGGAAAAGTTCTGTGAATTACAGTGTTTCTATTCAGTTGTATTATAAGAAATACCAGTGTGGGTTTACTGAATTAACCACATTACTATTAACACACAGAAATGCTTTCAAAGACATATATGCCAGGGACAATAATGAAAAATGAATAGAGTGGATGTTGAATGAAAAATACTTTGGTTTTCCCTCTGCATTCTACCTTACTGGTGTCCTTCTTGCTCTTTGTTTCTTCTCTTTTTTTCATTCTCCTCTTATGTTCTTCATTAAGCATGTGAAGCCCGGTAGCTCTCTCCACAGTGTCATTTGCCTTTGCTTTCTGAAGGATAAAAAAAATCAGCTTGTGAAAGGGAAAGGTGATGCCAAGGGTAAACCTGAAAATTAATGCAAATCTCTCTGCTTATTTAGTAAAAATATGCAATCAAATTTATGCAGAAACTGTTTATTTAAACCAAAAGAAACAATAGCTTTTGAGAACATTTAATGTCATTTTCTTATTCACTGTTAACACATTGTTACTCAGTTTGGTAGTTCAGTGACCAGATCATTGACTGTTGTAATGTTTTGGGAGCATAAGGAATATATTAGTCCTCTGTAAGGGAGGAGAGATATATTTGTCAAACCCAGGCCTGGTTCTTTCAGAAGTAGCAACACTCCCTTGCAGAATTCTGTTAAGTTTTTGAAGTTGCAGAGTATTAGGTTTCATTACATTTACATCATTGTAAAATCTAGCTGTAGGCTTTTAGAATCTGTGTTCAGCTTTTGAAAATAAAAGGTTCAAGTGATTCCTCTATTTTTTTAAAAATTTTGTAAATAGTAGTTTATTTTTTCTATTTTATTTATTTTATCTATTTAAAGATAATTTTCAGCATTCATTTTTAGTTTTAATTATTAAATTAATACAATTAATTTAATATTAATATTTAAGACTATATAACATTAATTAACAATTATTAATTAAAGTTTTTTCTATTTTATTTATTTTATCTATTTAAAGATAGTTTTCAGCATTCATTTTTATAAGATTATGAGTTCCAAATTTTTCTCCTTCCCTCCCCAACGGCAAGCAGTCTGTCATAGGTTATACTTATGCAATCATGTTAAACATATTTCCACATTAGTCATGTTGTGAAAGAACTGATTTCTCTATTCTTAATGAAATTGATCCTATGAGTCTTTTCAAATTAATTTAATTATTTCTTAAGCAAAGTACAAAGACATTTTTGCTTGAGAGAGATCAATCGAATATCACTCTTGAATTTGAATAGTACACTTTTCATATATGGTAAGACATCACAGGATGAAGTGACTGTTGATTCTTTTCCCTTATTAGGTCTGCCTGTCTGTCCTGAACTGATGAGGGAGCGTATTCCTAAAACCAAAGATGTGGGACACTTTTTATCTGTCACGGGGACAGTCATTCGTACCAGTATGGTGAAGGTCCTGGAATATGAACGGGATTACATGTGTAACAAGTGCAAACACATTTTTGTGGTCAAAGCTGACTTTGAGCAGCATTATACATTCTGCCGTCCATCATCATGCCCCAACAAAGAAGGCTGCAATTCTTCTAAATTCACTTGTCTCTCAGGCTCATCATCTCCTACACGCTGTAGAGATTACCAAGAAATAAAAATTCAGGAACAGGTAAGAAAACTGGGAAATATGGAAGGAAGAGCATAAATTAATTTGAAGAAATAGAATCATTTTTTGCTCTCAACTATATTAAAGCTCCCACTGTTTTGTTTTTTTTTTAAGGGGATAGAGAGCTGGGTTCAAATGTGATAATAATTGCTAAATGCTTAGCACAGTGCCTGGTACATAGTAGATGCTATGTAAATGGTATTGATCGTGATGATGGAGAAGATGATGATGACAATGGCCTGGGTTCAAATCCAGCTTCATACGTTTATTAAGAGTGTGACCATTGTTCAGCTTCATTTTCTTCATGTCTGAAAGGGGGATAATAATAACTAGCACTTTATAGTGTTGTTTTGAGAAATAAATGAGATAATACATGTAAAGCATGTTATTAAGTGCTTATTAAGTGCTTACTGTGTGCCAGACACTTAGGCAGGGGATTCAAAGAAAGGCAAAAACAGTCCTTGAGGGAATCAGTCAGTCATCAAGCATTTACTTGGAGCCTGCTGTGTGTTAGGTGTAGGGCCCTGGGCTAGCCAGGGACACCCCTACCCCTCCATTTGAAACAATCTCTGCCCTCGTGTAGCTTTCAATATTCTTTGAAACAAAATGTTTATATAGTGATTCATTTATAGCTTTAGTAAACTTTGAGACCTTAATTTGGTATGATTTCCCCTCTCTTTTATTCCCACCTAACCTAGCTTATATCTTCTTCCCTTCTCATCTAGACTATTATAATGATTTCCTAACTTGTCTTACTATCTCCAGTTTGTCCCTTCTCTAACTTATCTTTAATTTCTTCCTAATTTCTTCTTGGTATAATTTTTTTATCTGATTGTCACTCTTCCTCCTCTTAAAAACCAGCTTCTCATTTCCTATCAAATAAAGCATAAATTCTTGACTGTGGTTGGAGGCTCCCTGTAACCTGGATTGAAACTACATTTCTGGCCTTCTGTCATACCGTATCCCTTGCCATGTCCTACGTATTCCATTCTTGTCTTGTCCTCTTCCGTTTCTTTGCCTATGCTCATGCCACCCCCCTGCCTGTAATGTTCTTCCCTTCAGTTCATGGTCCAGATAAGGTACTACTTTTATGAAGCCTTCCATCTTCCACAATTGAAGGTCATCTCCTCATCCTAAGACTTCTCAGAGCACTTTTCCTGGACCTTTTCCTTATATATGTATATATTTGTTCCTGCTTTTTTTCTCTGCTCCAGTTTGTTTGGGATCTTTTGGGAGCAGGGACCATGTCATATTTTTGTATCTCTAATATATTAATCTATTGCAGTGCCTCACACATAGTAGGAACTTGAAACATTTTGAAATAAAAATACCATAAAAAAATCCTCAACCTTGAAATTAACTATGATTCATATTAGACAAACAGTTCTTTGAGAAATGGATTCTTTAATTTGACAAATAGAACTATCAGGATTTAACCAGATGACATTTTTTCCTTTGTTCCAGATCTGTGATTTCATTAGTTTGGGAAAACTCCTGGCTAGAACTCCCACCAATGCAGATAACCAACTGTTCTGCAGTTTATATTTTTAGAGAGTTGCTCCGGTCACTAAGGATGACATAGCCAATACGTATAAAAGATTGTATGTGAGAGACAGATTTGAACCCAGGTCTTGCTGACTCCAAGGCTGGTTTTTTATGTAAACTTATTTAATATACTTTTTCTTTTTTTTCCTCCTTTAGGTCCAGAGGCTATCTGTGGGAAGTATTCCACGATCTATGAAAGTTGTCCTAGAAGATGACTTAGTAGACAGTTGTAAATCTGGTGAGAATTAAGGGGAATTTCCTGTTGAATATATGCCCTCTTTTCAAAGAACTTTTCATTTTCTGGAACCTTTGAGATTATCAACCCTTATGTGGGGGTGGTAGAAATCAGGGGTGGAGATTGGGAAGTGAAGTAAAGGCTTCGTAGGATCATAGATTTAGAGCTGGAGTGGATTGTAGAGGGGTGGTAGGTGCTGGTAGTGTCCTTATTTTTAAAATGGGAAAATGGAGGCAGACAGGCTAAATGGCTTTTCCAGAGTCACACAGCTAGTTATTGTCTGAGGCTGGATTTGAACTCAGGTCTTCCTGATTCTAAGCACTGTAATCTTTCCTCTGTGTCACCTAGTTGCCCAGCAAATAACACAGTGTATGGTACATAGTCAGTGCTTAATAAGTGCTTGTAGATTGACTGTAAAATTTTGACATACTTCAGAGTGAAGGTTCTCATATCTCACTTGGAGATTTATCAGATAAGCATTCAAGATGGACCAAAACATTGCTTTCTAGGCTTTGAAGATTCCTGTTAGTACATTCATTATTAAAAGAATACTTGTAATAAGTTTTAATAAGTTTGAAACAAGTTTAAAATTACTACATTGTCTCCAAACATTTTGAAAAAAAATCTTTTTGTGTTCTATACAGGAAGAAACCACATTTAAAAAAGATCTTGATCTACATTAAGAACACATTAGCTATAGACTATATTTTTAAACCAGTAAATTGAAGGATGTTAGTTAAGAGCCATAGTGCCTGAGAGAGTAAATGCTATTTTGTTTTTCTATTGTAACTGTATTTAAATGCACTGTCAGATATTTTAAATAAAATTTGCTTTTTTCACATGCTGTGTTGGTGATTTCTGGAGTGGGGCTGGATATATACATATGTGTGTGTGTGTGTGTGTATGTCTGTAAAGAATGTTTACTTCATTTAATGGGAGCTAGAACATAAATAAGGCACTGTTCAGCTCAGAGCTAATCTCAGGAGTAGCAGAGTAATAAACTTCCAAAAGCACCTTCGAAGTAACTAAACGAGAATTAGTAAGTAAATTATCATCTACCTAGGCACCTTTGCCCATTTCCTTCTTCCTTCGATGCCACTACCACACCCCACTCTATGGGGTTTACTGAAGGTCTTGAAGAGACAGTACTAGCTCTCAGACAACAGATCTGAAGGTTTTCTTATGCTTCATTAGAACATATATAGGCATTATTCTGGGAGACAGCCCAGTCTAGTGGAAAGAGTGCAGGATTTAAATTCAAAGGGCTTGGGTGAAAATCCTGGGTCTGCCACTTAACACTTGCTTGGGTGATCTCAGGCAAATCACTTAATCTCCTGCTGCCCCACTTTCCACATCTGTAAAAGGACTAGAGGTCCTCTAAAGTCTCTTCTGGTTCTAAATTTCTAATCCTGGTATCTTCTGTCTCCTTGGGACTGACATTTCCCACTATAGGAATAGAATGGAAATTTGTTCCCATCAGACCTGGATCTCCATTCCCCCCATATGCTTACAAGTCCTAACTTCTACCTCTCGAGGGGGAGGAATAGGAGAAATGCTGATCCTTTCCCCTTTCCCTGACCAAGCCAAGTATCAGGTACCACACTGAAGGTTATACTCTTTACTGAGCAACTAGATAATTTACTGTGATGTTAAAAATGAAGGTGGAAAAAGAGAAAGCTAACAAACAGATCATAGATGGTTAGAGTCCATCTGTTCTTATTTTGCAGCAGAGGAAGTTGAGACCCAGGGAGGTTAAGTGACTTAATGGTAATAGCTAGCTTTTATATGGTGCTTTAAGATTTGCACAGTACTCTATACATGTATTATCCCATTTTGATCCTCACAACAATCCCATGAGTAGGTAGGTCTGAGGCAGGATTTAAGGTCTTTCTGACTTCAGGTCCAACGCTATCTGTTGTGCCACCTAGCTACCTCATGACTTGTCCAAAGTCGCTTACTGAGGTAAGTGCCTCAGAGCCAGGATTTGCTATTCTACTCTTAACACCTGCCACGTACAGTTTAATATAGCTCAGATCTTCATGGCTCTTTTGTTCATCCATTACCTTTCAACTTCCCTTACCCATCTCCAACTTACATATTACAAACTTCTACCTAAATTCCCATGTATTCACACCAGAAGCAAATAGAATAGTTTGTCCAAACAAAAAGAGGTTTAAAACTAGGATATCTGTCACTTTATCCTAATCCACAGCTTCCTTTTGCGTGATCTAAGATATCCCCTGCAGTATGCTGAAAGAGTATATTTTGTCCTTCCTTCTACCCTTGACTGTTCCAGGTGCTCATTGAATAACTTAACTCCTGAGCTGATATTTTATTAAAATGATTACTTAGGAACCATATCACTCCATGGAAGCTACCAATCCAAGCACCTATGACCAGAAAACATTCTTTGCTGATATAGACATAATACATATATCTATGTGTATATGCATATATATACACACACATATGCATATATTTATCACCAACACATTTGAAAAGCATGTCAAATTTAATTTAAAATATATAATATTATTATATAGATATCTTAGAATAGATACTTCATGTAGATGGCATAATAAAACAATAAAATTTTTGATAATTGGTTCAGTGCTAAAATAAAAAACGGTTTGTGAAATCATTTGTTAGACTTCAGTTCAAATGGAATTTTTCATAGCTGTTGTTAGTATGGGATGTCAGCTTAGGAATGGAAATAAGCTAACAATGTAATGCTATTGATTGAAAAAAGGATTCTGTCCTCTAGTAACATTCTGTAAGACCTTTTGCTCTTCCCCAAAATGTAACTAATAATAAAGAATGAGGGGACTTCAGCATGTTCTCAGAACCATAGTAAGTTCTTTAGGGAATATTGAAGTAGTATAAGGCATAATTTCTGCCTTCAAGGAGCTAGCTATCTTGTTTGGGACATAAAATTTTGGTATTTCAGTGGATCTGTGAATCTTCTCTGAATATTCCTTTCATCCATGCAGACCATAGCCTATCTCTGTCTTCTCATTCTGTGTGACTTCTATATATCCTTTCATAAATCCTTTGCTTAAATAGAAAGAAGGCCACTAGATCACAAGGAAGCCTGCAAGCCAATATTGATTTAGAAAACTACACAATAACATTAACTGTGTTCTCTTGTATTTTTATTTATTTTGTTAAATGTTCCCAATTACATTTTAATTGGATTCAGACAGCACTTGGGAGCATGTTTAGGTCTACCCAATGTTTTAGGGCCTTCCTCCAACTTTTAACTTTGGGTACCAGTGATAGAAGCAGGAGTTATCCCTATCTCTTGCTACGTGACCAGTCTTTTTCTCTTCTAGGCATACATTTCTTGATGCTTGTCTTTAATCAGTTGCTCCTGCACAGTGCTTACTTACCTCCTCTCATGCGCTCTCCCTACTCCCCCTCCATTCCATGTGTATCTGTTTCCCTGTGATATACAACTTTAATGCTTCAGGCCTGTGATATTACTCCATGACTCCCAGCAATACGGTGTCGTTAAGAGAATGTGGATGTTAAAAGGATAGGGTTTGGTTTCTGGGAGAAGCTTGGGGCCGTTAAAAGCACTGTGCAGTCACACTGATTTTCCTAAGTGGATAGTTAGGTACAACCCTTAAATCACAGAATTTCAGAGTTAAGAAGACAGCCTAGAAGCCATTTCATCTAACCCTTACCTGAAAAAAAGAAGTCCTTCTACAATGTGTAGAACAAGTGATTATGTAGCCCGGTATGCTTAGAGAATTTCATTGAGGAAGGACCTATTTACCCCTTGGGGCAGTGTATTATACTTTTGGGTAGTTCTAATTTTAGGAAAAATTTTTCTTTGAATCACCTAAATTTGCCCCTTTGCAACTTCCACTCCTAGTTCTGCTTCCTGGGACCAGAGAACAAGTCCACTGCCATTCCACCTGAGCCCTTCAGATACATACACACATATGCGCAAGAACATACACCCTCCCTCAAATCTTATTTAGGTTAAAATGCCCATTTTCTTTAACCCTTATGTGGCATGAACTCAAGCCTCTTTATATAATCATAGGTTCCTACCTTTGGACCACTGCAGCTTATTTCTGTCCTTGTTTAAAAGTGATGCTGGTGGAGCACAGCCAGATGGGGTGATGTCATCAGATGAAGTCCAGCACCTAAACTTGTCAAAACCCCGTTATTTCTCTGAATTTAGTTTTATCCTCCAACCTGCTGCCATCTTAGCAAATATGAGTTGCAAGGGATAGACCATCACCACTCAGTTATATTCAGACTCTCTCAGGCTCCTAAGGGTAAGCCTGTTGAGGGTAAGTACACTTGTTCTATTCACTGCTTTAGGTCTTGAGCCTCCATCTCGTGCATTTTCTGTCTACACAGTCAGCCACTCAGAAGGCAGTGCATCCACATAGTGCAACATTGGAGGCAAATACATAAAGAGTAAATGATGTCACAATATCCGTATAAACTCATATCGCACTCAGTGCATTCAAAAACTGTGGTAAAAATTGGGCACACACTTAGAGGCATGGAAACACATAAAGGAGGAAAACTAATGCTTAGGGTACTACAGCTTTAAACTGCCAGTTTCAGTATTACTGGTCCATTCATAAACATCCGTACCACATGAAACTGCCTCTCAACTCACTGCTTGATTACTGATCTTCCATTCTTCAGCCAGGGGAATTGTCTTTACTTCTGTCAATTTATTAAGTGCCTGCAGTGAGCCAGGTATTATGCTTCTCCAACATAGCTTTTTAAGTTTTTCAAATAACCATCACCATTTGTTGTTCAGTTATTTCAGTTGTGTCTGACTCTTTGTGACACATTTGGGGTTTTCTTGGCAAAGATAATGGAGTGTTTTGCCATTCTTTCTTTGCCTTATTTACAGATGAGGAAAGTGAGGCAAACAACACTAAGTGACTTGCCCAGGGCCACAAAGCTAGTAAGTGTCTGAGGCTGAAATTGAACTTAGGTCTTCCTGAGTCCAGGCCCAGTGCTCCATTCGC